AATAAATACTTTGGCTCCAATTCCCTAAACCATTTCCACAATTATTTAGATCCTTGATGTAATTTCTCTTAAACAAAAAGATATTTCTTTAACAAAGTTGCTGCTAAGGAACAAAAAATTACACGAAATATTATTTAATAATTTCAACCTGTAAATGAATCTCTGCACAATCCGTAAATCAAACGTAAGCACAATATAAGAAGGAACAACGGTATCTACTCTGAAAAAAAATACAATCAAAAGTACCAGATTATGGTAAAATTTACCGTGTTTCTGGCTGCATAGAAGCACCAAAAAATTGGGTTATTTTTACTGAAGCGCTTTGATATGGATTTGTGTAGAATTAACAATAAAATTTAGTTATATAAAATTTGTTAAATTTGGTAATTTTATTATGATACTTTACAGCATGGTTTAAAAACCATTTATTCAGTAAAATTTACTTTTCAGTATTTTTTGTTTTTTACTAAATGTGAGGCAATAACTTATTGTCATTCCTGCGGTAATTTTACCAGAATTTTTTTCTCTATGTACAAAATGAATATATTGATAGATTGAATAGAAATGCTGTTAATTTCGAAAGTAAATCACACAAAAAAAATATAATTTTTCCCGCGTATGTACCAACGAGTAAGAAAAATAAATGCTTTCTAACAAAATGTAATTCAAATTTGTGAATATAGTCATTCATATTAGTTTAAGACTATGTATCCTCTCGAATTACGTAAAATTGAAAAATTAAATTTATTAAATTTTTTACTATGACATTCTCCATTTAACAAATTTGGTTTTGTAAAGAAATATTTACAATTAATAAAACAACATAAAAAGTTACATAAATAAAATAAACTAATACATTAATACCATGATTTCTGTTGTATTTACCTGTCAGTCCTTCATTTTTCAGAAATTAAATTAACTACGTCTCTTGCTCTAAACTTTTTCAAGATTATTTAGTGGTTCGGAAAATATTAATTTTAGAGTTGATACTTCTAAATAGGTTTGAATTTCTAGCATAATTAAGAACAGATAAAGGTGTAAGAACTCAAATATATGAAAAGTTTATTTAATTTTCAAATCAAAACAATATTTTGCACTGGAATATTTTTAGCGTATTTTGACGTCAAAATATTATGTTTGTTATCATTTTCCACCGCGTTGAATGTATGCTGAGAAAAATGCAACAGAATATAAAAACTAAATTGAATTAATAATGTAATTTATATCATAATTTATAATTTATATCTTCGCGGTCAGAAAACCACAGCTGATTGCATTTAAATGCGGTTCCTTCTTGGGAAATTTATAACACAATTTTTTTTTAAATAATTTATCTTGTATTTTAACAAACAATTTTTCAAAGCTCATTTTCAAAAATATGTATTCTTTTAAGTTAATAAAATTTGTCTTGAGCTTTAGAAAACATTATAATAATTTTTTTTAAGAAACCGTGCAGGCTTTTTGACGTAGTCAGTTTTGTCAACACATACAAAAACGTTACTTCAATGCTTGCTTACAAATGGAAAGTAAACAACGTTTGTATAAAGAATAAATATTTCCAAGACTTTGTAGACTATAAGGAATAAATATATGCTCTTCTATTCAGTTTTACTTCGTCTTTCATGTTTTATCAAGTAATTCTTCAAATTAACTAACTGAATTTATTTTCTCAAAAAAAATCTTAATACGATTATTAAAGTACAAAATTGGAAAATTTAAAAAAATGCAATTAAAAACAGTCTAAAATGATAAATATACCTATTTTCATAAAACAAATTCCACATATTAGTTTAAACTTATTTTGTTAGAAAACTAACAAAATGGATTATGCAACGTCTTTATTTTTCAAATCGGGAAAAATCTCTAAACGTACGTGTATTTGAATATTTTTTTAATATAATTCATGCTAAAAAACAAATTCATTCTGATATTCGTAATAATAATTTAAATTGATAATTTAAAAAAAATATATGTATAATTTTATTATTATATTTGCATTGTGAATTATCATATTACTTGTTCAATTTAATTCAAATATTACATGTTATAGTAGATTGTAATTGATAATAACAATATACCATAATATGGTGAATAGTCAAATCTTGCTGAACAGTTAATGTGAACATTAAAGATAGGTATATTTGTTTTATGCATATAAAATAATGTCAAAACATTTTATCCTTTTTACAAAACAGCAATTTTGAAACCAAAATTTCTGCTATAGTTTGGTTACTTTTATGAAATTATTTAAGTAAAATTCCAGTAAAAAAAATGACAAAATTTATAAATCAGTTTTTTTTCGTCTAACTGTTTGATTCAAAATGGAATGACTAAATTAAAAAAAAGGAATTATGTTTCTTTAACAACTATTATCAACGTTTATAAGAGTTCTTTTTCGAAAACCCATAATTCAGCTTATTTTATTCATTCTCAATTATTGTATGCGCCAAAAACAAATTCAGAACTAGACTAGATACCACTCCAGGACAGCGAATTTTACCAGGAGTTTGATATAAAACCTATCATTTTACGAGTTTTATAGATAAAAGGATTATTGAAAAAATTTCATTTGTCATATTAAATATTATCCAAGTAATAAGTAGTCTTTTTTTGGTTAATATGTTCACGACTGCTAATAAATTTCATTTACATGCTTGGGGTTTCGCTAAAAGATGCTCGATTATTTAGGATTCAGTAGCCATGGAAAATTGGGAACCGTTGGTTTATAGTTTCCCACTATCACGTTATAAATACACGATATACTAGCGTGAATTAAAAATAATAATGTTAGTACACGATAGTGTTTAAGGAAACACTGGACGTCCTTGAAAATCCTTCAAAAATCCATTATTTGGTTCTTGATGTATTAAAAAAATTTGCACTTAATTAGGTAGCATACAACAAATCGTGTTTAAATTGGAGTTTTTCCTACCGAGTTTCCAGATTATGAATTTGTAAAAGCTCATACAACTATGCGTAGTTGACAAAATTGCTTTTTCTCGTAATGGAATTTTTCAATGTTCTCAGAATTTCAATAAGTTCCTTGTGCATCATTTGTTTTATTGTTATAAAAAAAATTTCAAATGCAATTCGAAGTGTCTTGTTTAATTTTAAATACTCAATAGGATTAACTCAATAGGATAACTTATTTCTTTAATAATTGAACAAACATAATTGAAACGTGTTTTTCGAAGAAATTTTTGGTTAGATAAAATAAATTTTTAATGCTTAGGTACGTTATATTTTTATACGGTTACCACAGGCATTTATATTTATTTAAATACTTATAAACAACTCATTTTAGTGAATATTTCATTAAAAAATTGAAATTCGTTCGCAAGGAACTTTTCATTTATCAACAATTAAAAACAATATTTTTAGCTACAATTTAAGAACAAATTATAATTTTTTTCTGAAACATTGTACACAGACTTAAAATTTGAAAATGATCAAAAAAAATTTTCACTTTTTTATTCTGAAAATCCAGTGTCCCCTTGTTGGAAATTAGGAAATTTTTTTTAATATGAGCAATTTTTACGTTATATTCTGAAATTTTTAAAGAGAAAGAAATACAACAATATTTAAAGAGAAGAAACTATTGAAAAAGTAAAAATCAAAATATACTTTTTAAATTGTATCTTTTGTGCAAATATTTTTTAATTTTAAAATTTTGTAACTGTGCAATCCTTAAAACTTTGGTTTTTATCATTGAAATAATTATTTTTTCCTATTTTTTTAAATTTAAGCTAATGAGAAATTTTCATTGAACGAACATATTTTCGCTGTGAAATATATTAACGTCATAGGAGTTCTGCTCTTCTCATCTTCCATCAATAATTCAATAATTTTTAGATACATTAATCATAAGTATTATTATTTAAAATTAGCAAACATAATTATTATTTAAAAATCTAACGACTTATCAATAGTATTTGAATATCAAAAGTATATTTATTGATTCATGCATGTGTAAAATGCATTTATAATTTAATGTCTGAAGATAACAGGTAATTTTTTCAAATAACTTAAATATTTTTCATTATTTTTGTTTTTATAAATTTTTACAGAGTTTCAAATTTTATATTCGCAGAATTAAATTAATTTACTTAAATTCGAGTATAATTAGTTATATAGTTTATCAACTAAATAGTAATTAGATTACTAGCTTTTCAACTAAAATTGCTTTTTTAATGGTTTAGCAATTGTAAAACTGACAAAATGATATAGAATAAGTCAATATGAATTATTTTACGTTTAGAATTAAATATATAGCTATTCAAAGTAATTAAAATAATTTTTTCAAATATTTAAATTTAATGAAGAAAGCCGTACATTAGAAAGTAATATATTTTAAACATATTAAAATATTTTACCAATGTATTTTGATTTGAATGAAATGTTAAAAAAAATACTACATTTTAATTTTCAGATTTCTTTATTAAATATTTTATTCCTCAAATGTAATAAATTACAATATAATTTCTACAAAACTAAGGATTTAATTTTCTATCAAAAAAGTAACTTACACTATGAAACCATAGTAGTTCTAAATTCGATAACTTTTGAATAATAACGTTTACCACTAAACTCAGAGTTATTGAAAATAGTCTTAAAAAATCTTAAATTATAACGTACGAAATTGATACGCGTGATTAAATCTTTTCTTAATAAATTATCTTTTAAAATCTGGAGAGAAAAAAATTGATAATGGTCTACGCTTTTTCGACATTGGCACCAAGTATGCATTAAGTGTGACTAAATCGAAACGGAAGTAAGAGGTTAAGGAAGTTAAAAGTGACGATTTTTTTTCTGATTATCTAATTTCTGGACAAATTCTTCGGCGTGACATTAGGCCTTCTAACAAAGTATCTTGTCTTCAAAAAATGTGCTGGTGCGTGCGATTACTGATACTTAAAGGAAAATATTGAAATTTAATCGGGAATGGTACTTGGTGAACCTTTGAATGTAGGAAGTATAGTTTGTCTGAGTATATATACTCGGTTATGGTGGTGAATTAACCAGAGAACCATTGTGGTTCGATCAGTAATCTAATATATCTTTTTCCGACTGATATTCCTATAAAGGTGTGTGTTTTCTTCATTACATTTGGATTATATACATTATTGGAAAAGGCTAAGTATATTTATTCTAATAAGTTAAACGTTGAAAGAAATTTAACTTCTAAAAACATAAGATTTAAAAAAACAATAAATTAAGAAAAATATTTATGATAATATCACATAATTTGTAAACTATTTAATTTTAAAAATACTAATATTTTTATTAATTAAATTTATACTTATTAATACTTTCAGTGTAACTAATTAATAATTTTAGTAATACCAATTAATACTTTCAGTAAAATTAATTATTACATTTAGTTTTAAAGTAACACTTTTAAAAAATATCTTAGTTTTCTGTTATCTTTTTAATCTTTAGTATAATCGAAGATGAATTGCAATAATTAGAAATCATAACAGATTAAAATAATAGTTTAAAGTTCCAAGAATATTTTTAAACAAAACTATTCATATTTATAACAATATTGCACCATTTAGAAATTATTTAAAACTAAATTCATTAACTATTTCTTATGATTATAAAACTTTAAATGTTTTAAAAGTGTTTAAATTGTTCTTCTTTAAATTTCTATAATTAAATGATAATATGATTTAAAAATATTTGAAAACATTAATTAATAAAATAGCATTGATTTGAGATAAATTGTATTTCAATTTTATTAGTTCTGTCCATACTAAGCAATACCTTTAGTAGTAAATAAATACTTTTGTAAAATTTCGCGATTTTCTTTTATATTTTTAATTTTTAGTATAATCAAAAAGAAATAACAATAATTAAAGATCATAAATTATTCAAATAATAGTTTAAAAAGTTTAAAGTTTCAATAATATTTTATCAAATAATACTACAATATTGCACTATTTTAAAATTATTTAAAATTAAGCATTTTACTTATTCCTTGTGTTTAAAAAACTTAATTTATTAATTAATATTTTTAAAAACATTTAAAATTCATATTATCGTCGAATTATTGTAATTGATTGAGAAATAATTTAACTATTTATAAAACAGTTAACATTAAATTGTGGTTAATTGTATTAAGTAAAATTATTCATTCAGTATGTATACTTTAATTACTATAATAGAGTAATTAAAATTTTCTATATTAAAGTCTAATTTACAACAACAAAAGAAATGTTTTTACTCGATACAAATTTTAATCATAATATTTTTATTGGGGTAACAAAAGATTGAAAATTGATAAGAATGCGATTACAATCCTTTCAAAATTATTATAATTTATAAAAATTGAGTTTTATGAATTGAAATATGTTCTTAAATTGTTATTATTTAAAAAATTAAATAGATTTTTTTTAAATATGCGTCATATATTTAATCAGAGCTATATATTAGAGCCAAAGTTAATTTATAATATATTTCCTCAATGCTATTAACTTATTCGATGAAAAAATATTGCTTAATATCTGGGTATTCGCATTTATATACCAATTGCTGTAAGATATAGTAGGTGCAAAACCAGAATAATGAAATGAGCTCAATAAAATTTTCCATAACTTTATCTTTAATAAATAAAAGCATTAAACTCTATTATTATTTTATAAAATTCAAATAAATTTACTATTATTTAAAAAAAAATTTAAATTTTAATTGTTTTGAATTAAATAATGTATAACTGAAATCAGATTACTTAAAGTTTTAATGTACTGCCTAATGGTTAGTTACCACTCATTTACTTTCGATTCTCAGTTTTTCTTATAGAAATTTGTATTTTTCCTAAATAAATTTAAGTAAAAATATCTGATAAAATTAGTTCATTAATATAACTGAGTAGATGCATATGAATTTAAATATGTTTATAACCTCTTTCCAAAATATTTTTCTTCTGGTAGGCAAGTCACAAAAGTCAAAGTTTAAAATTTCGTTAAAAAAACACTTTCTGAAGTTCCCACATTTCAAACGTTTTCATTCATAATATAAGACTATAAGTTATTTTAACTGTCAAATTTCATAAAAGCAAGCTATAAAAGGAAATGATTTCATTATTGTTAATTTAATTATCAATTTTCGTAATTTTTTTCTTTATTTTATTATTTGTTAACAAGTTAATTAAAATTTATGCCCTGTTAAATTGCAATAAAATGAATAATATTTTTTTAGCGTGAATTCGTTTAGAGACTAGTTTCTGTTCTTATTTTGTTCAATTTAGCTTTATAAATATCTTGATTAACACATAATAAAATTTCATTGAGAACTCTTCAGTAAATTACGTTTTTAAGGTCAAACAAAAAAAATAAAAAATTATGGTTATAAAAATTAGGTGTTTATCATACATCAAAAGCTTTTCAAAATTAAAAAATAATTACTACAAGCATAAAATATGCATGAAAAACGAAATTGTTAACTTTATGCATTGCTAAGAAATTTTATTTTTCTCCTGCTCACCTAATGAATTAATTAATGACTTTTATAATGTCTGAAGGTATTTTTGATCTTGCATATTAAAATACATATTCGTTATTCAATAAGCATTTATACTCAATCATAGTTCAGAAATAATCATCTGAATTACATATAAATATGTAATTACATCATATTTGTGAACGAACCTACGTGTTTTTTTTCCTTTGAAAGTTTACACGCCTTTAATTTGCTTTGGATATAGTATTTTAAGTAGTGTACTCATAATATTTTTGCGAATATTAATTACCTTTACTAATTATGTGGACATTTTTTTATAAATAATGCATAGATCTTAATTATTATTTGTAGACTATAATTAATCTCTAAGCCTTCTTTATTTTTGTGTTCTGAATTGGAAAAAAATTAATGTGAAGTTTAATTGTAATTTTTTATTACTCTTTTCATATTAGAAAAAAAATTCATATGAAACTTAATTTTAATTTTGGCTTACTGTTTTCATGTAAGAAAAAAATTAAAATAAAATTTAATACTAATTTTCGCTTGCTGTTTTCATATAAGGAAAAACTATTAATATAAAATTTGATTTCAATTTTCGCTTCCTTTTTTATATTAAGAAAAAAAACTAATTTAACAAAATAAAATTTCTAACATAAATATTCCCGTTAACTAGATCGTCCTACCATGCTCAATAAACTTAAAGAAAACAGAATGATTTAAATAATGAGTACTCTTTTTGCTTCTTATTTAATTAAAAAAACGTGTCAGTTTCCTCTTACATTACTGGCCTCTTAATTTTCACTTTTCTATGGTCAACTGTCATTATTCCTTATCAAAATAAACTTAACACAATAGTTAAAATAAAGCATTATTAAAACTCAGAAATAATTTTTCCGTGTTCTACTTAAATAACGGATTTTCTGATTAATGTTAAACTTTTTCAACTATTTTAACACTTCCGGTTAAAAGCGGAGATGTCGCTTTTTAAGCTACACGTGTGTCGCTCAAACGTGACACATATAGTAACTTTCACGGGTTCAGTTGGTATAACATAAAAAAGCAATTACAAACCTAAAAACAAGAATCTTGTTCATGCTCCATTGATCATCCTGAACAAATGAAAATCTCTGAATGCTCAAATGATTAAACTGTGGCGTGGTGTTGTTTAATTCTATCTACTTGAATGAAAGTTAAACTTCAAAAGCATAACGTTTCTAATCAAAATTTAAATATGTATCAATTAACACAATTTTTTGGTTAAAAGCATTTTAGATTAATCAATAGATTACATTTTGTTTATGTAGTATAAAAGATGTTCATCTACTGACTTTAATTTGTTAGAATAATTCATGATAACTGACATCTTTGAGGTGAATAAACTATAAAAATATATAATGTATATTATTTGTTACTCAAAATATATTGCTAATGTTAAAGTTTGGATAGCAATTATTTAATTAAGACTTATTTAATAATTAAATTCATATAGAATTTAAGTTAATTAAAAAGGAGAAGTAATCAAGAATTTAATGTCATTAATACACACTTAATAAAATTGCATTGAGAAAATTAAAAATAACCCAGTGCATTGAAATTTTGATCAAACGTAACAGGCATGGTATATTACGATTGCAAATTCTTTCGTTCAAATTTACAGATAAATTATATTCATAAAAAAATTGTTTGAAAAAGCTGATATTTCGATATGGGAAATAGTAAGGATTTTAATATTCCTAAAATGAATTAAAAATGTATAATATAAATTTTTACATTATTTTTAGTTTAATAATATTTTCAATTAATAGATTTATAGTCATGAATCGTCAATATAATATTACAACAGTCAAGATTTTATTACTAGATCATTCTCTTAAGTCTATTTTTTCGTTTATTAATAGATTGACTTGAAAGTTAATTTTTCTTACAGATGTCAGTCTCAGTGAAGATCTGTTTTCTGCTAGTAGTAGCTGCTGCCTGCTACGTAGCTGCTGATCCTGTACCAGAACCGGAGCCCCATCATCATCATGGGTAATTTAAATTTATAGTTTTTCTACTAACTGGTTTTAAATGTTGATTTGGATTAAATTTTCAAATCAAAAATACGTAAAAATCACACATCTAATTTCAATAATTTATTAATTAATAAGCTTAAGAACTTTAAACTCATAGTTTCTTGTTTGCTTTGCAGAAAAGAAGTGATAGTGGTGAAGGATAAAAGTGAGCATCACCACCATCATCATCACCACCACCATCATAAACACGCTCACGGACATAATCATAAACATGGTCATCACCATAAGCATGGTCATGATCATCATCACAAGCATGGTCATCATCATCACCATGGTCATGACCACAAGCACGGTCACCATCATGGGCATCATCATGGGCATCATCATGCTCATCATCATGGTCACCATCATGGACATCACCACGGACATCATCACCACCATGGACATCATCATGGACATCATCATGGACACCATCATCACCACGGACATCATCATGGCCATCACCATGCACATCATCATGGTCATCATCATGGACACCATCACGGACATCACCACCACCACGGACATCACCATGGACACCACCATGGACACCACCATCACCACGGACATCACCACGGACATCACCATGGTCACCATCATGCTCACCATCATGGACACCATCATGGTCATCATCATGGACACCACCATCATCACGGACATCACCACGGACACCACCACGGGCATCATCATCATCACGGACATCACCACGGACACCACCATGGACACCATCATCACCACGGACATCACCACGGTCACCACCATGGACATCATCACGGACACCACCATGGTCATCATCATGGTCACCACCACGGTCATCATCATGGTCACCATCATGGACATCATCATGGTCACCATCATGGACATCATCATGGCCATCATCATGGACATCATCATGGTCACCATCATGGTCATCATCATGGACACCATGATCACCATCACAGAAGAGCAGACATCCTGCAGAAAGGTCTTCACGACTTCGATGGCATCATGGGATTTCACTACCGCCGATAAGCGACTGAAACTCGCTAACGGAAAAGTCTTTCTACTACAAAAATACAGCAGCTTTTTATAAGAAAAAAAGTAATCGTGATAATTTATATTTAAAATGTTTTGAAACATTAGGTAAATATGCATATAATTCACGAAATTGCTGTAAAGTCGAGTAAAAGTTCTCACAATGTGCGTATCTAGTCGATACGATGTCTATAAATCTGGAGGCTAAGATATTCTATAGCAATTATCACAGCCAATGGGAAGTTAGGTAGTCTTATGCAAATTGTTAATCTCATACCTCAGAGCTTTCTTCTATTTATTTTGTGTCTGTTTATCTTATTTTCTTGGATTTAGTCTAGGATTCTAACGACGTTGTAACTAATGTTTAGTTCTTTTTTATTTTGAAATGCATCTGTAAATGGTATTAGGAAATAATAAAAAAATGTTTGCTCAAACTTTTTGTTTCAATGAATTAGCTTCTCAAACAAGCATTTGATCGAAAAATCATTGGTCTCAATATTAAATACTTAACGCTTCCTTTATGTTCCGTTTTCCTTTATATAATCATATTACTGAATTATATCATCATTAAAAAATACCTTCAATATTATGAAGTTGAATAAGTATCCGAACAGATCAAGATTAAGTCCAAAACACAACTATAAAAATAGATATTTGAAAAAGAACTGCAGGGCAACCTAACTATAGTTTGAATAGTGACTGATTTTAACACCTATTAAATATTTCAGGTAAACTACAATAATTTAAAAACATTAAATTATTCTATTAAAAACATGAAAATCGCATTAACAGTTGTCAAACAAACACATGCTGTATATCCTGATAACATAAACAAACATAATCATCAGAGAAAATGAGAAAATTAACGAACTAAAATTCTTGAGCACATTTTAAATGGAAAGTACTAAAATTATAAGAACATAATCATGGATATACCTTCCTATTTTAAATTGCTTTTAGAAACCCGATAAAACAGCTTCCAGTTTAGTAACTTGGAGTTATAAAGAGCTGAATACATTTTCTTTTCAACATTTCTATAAAGTAATAACAGAGCCTCTGATTTTGAGTTACTTGCGATATTGAGTTATCATGTTAATACCTGATCTATCTACTCAAAAATACAGACAATTATTTTTTTAACGCTATATATCTCAAAACCTCCAATATGAGAAAAAAAGATTCCGAAATGAGAGAATTAGCTTTTTTTCAAATAAATCTAGCGCATAAAAAAGTAATTAAAAAGTACCCTTCAAAACTCATATGTCATTCATATACTTTTTGCTTTCCTGCTCATATGAAACACGTTAACATGTTTAATGTTACATATAAATGTTAACATCATGTTTAAATTTAAATGCTGATATTTGTTTTCTTCATCATTATTGAAAGAGGAAGCATCGCAAACTTTAGTTGTTTTTTACCAGCACTTAAATATTGTAGCACCTTTATTGCAATGAATCCAATTTCAAAGTAGCACACCATTTATATAGCAATCACGCATATTTCAGAAGTTACCCTGCTTTAAGTAACCCTGTTGTAAAGTAGCTCTGCTTTCTTAAAAATCCTATTTAATTTTGAATCGGTATGATTTTCAATTTTAGATCGATGCAAAAAATATAGGAAATGTGTTACCATTTAAATATTCATGAATGAAAAATAAAAGAAAGTCATTTAATAAGGAATGGAATATGAAATAAAAAAAATATTCAATTGAATAAGAAATAGTCAATTGAGAGAGAAAAAAAGAATAGTCAGTAATTCCAATTGAAGAGAAATTATTTAATGGTGGGTGATTTAGTGATGTTTAATTAATTGTGTTTGTAGAGCTTCTGGAGGATAAAAAAAAGGAAGAAAAAGAGAAATATAGTAAAAAGGAAAAAGATAGGAAGACAGGAAAGAAAGAAGTGTAATGAAATGGCCACAAACATCAAAAACTGTCAAAATTGAAACTCACTATCTATCTTAAAACACTTTTAATACTTTAATTCTTAACTAATTTTATCAGTTAATTCTAGTGACTGATTCACGTTAAATCTGTCGAGTCGCAAAAGTCCTCCATGATCCCATAACAAATTAAAACCTTTTGGGTACTGGATTGGAGATCGATCGTTCTCTGATTCAGGTCAAAATTACGATCTGTGGATGAATGAATGGATGTATGAATGGGTCCGCCCTATAAACGGGTGCGACTTATGGTGCGCAGAAGTTGAATTCTTGGCCATAGATGGCGCCACTGAAAACAAGAAACGCATACTCTGCCTTAAATTTGCTCGGTTTCACCAAGCAGGCTTGCTCGTATGGCAAGTGCCATTAGAAACAACAACAACAACATTAGTTAATTCTTAACTAATTAACTAATCTCTTTTTACCAACTTATATTTGCAGTTTTTTTCCTGAAAGAAAAACTAATTAAGATTTTCAAGCTCCAGCAATCAATCTCGTACAGCAAAAATGGAGGTTTTTTTCTTTTTTTAAATTTTAAGATCGGTGTCTCATGCCACAATGAGGCCCTTGGTTTAAAAATTGCGAAACCCTTTAATTTAGTGTTCCCTTGGGCAGCAATTGGTTAATGTAGGAGTGCTTCACTGGGCATTGTAGGCGTAGTGAAAATTTCGATCACAAGCGTTGCATTTTTTTATTTTTTTTTTATTTCTGCAAACTTCAATACTTTTAAAGTTTAGGCTTTTTGGTCAGTTGCAGACTATCATTACTAGTTTGAAAGGAGAGTACTGTTATACAAACAAAAGTTTTTTTTTTAAAAAAAATATTAATATTTTCCCCCTAGTTTCTTAAATTTTGCCAGAAATTTTTACAAATAATAATAATAGTAACTTCTATCAGAAACTTTATATAATAATTTTTTCTCAAAATTGTTCGACTGAATGCTTCAATAACAAGTATTTAAATGTAATTTCTATATTGATCTGTTACTAAATTCGTATCTTTCCCTGAAACAATAATATGGTCAAAACTATCAGACAATGGTAATTTTTACCTTGTTTCTGTTACTATGGGAACACCAAAAAGCTCGGGGATTTTATCGAAGTGCTTTGGTCATGATTTTAGTAAAATTAACAATGAAAATGGGTTTCATAATATGTGATAAAATTTGGTAAATGTGGTAAACTTGGTCATTTTATCATGATATCTAAGAACATGGCATGAAACTCATTTATTCGGCTAAATTTACTGTTCAGTTTCATATTTATTTACTAAATGCATGGTTATAAGAAATATAATTTTGAATACCAGAATTTCCGCTAAACTGTTATCATACGGACTGAAAAATTACCAAGAGAATGGTTTAGATACCGTATATTTCGATTTTATTAACCATAATTATAGTGTGTTTTACCAGAAATATCATTACCATAGAGTACGGTAATTTTACAATATTTTATTTCTTCGTGTATATGAATCAGATATTTTTCAGTACGGATTCTTGCTCTCTGCAGAACAGAAATAAATTTTGTACAACCTTCCAAACGCAACCTATGTTCATTACTGCTAATTATTGTTTATTTGACTCTTCTCTTTGCTTCTTTCTCTTTCTCTTCTCCTTAAAGACAATTTCGTAGAAAAAAAATATTTTTGTATTGTTATGATGATAATAATGAAAATAATTCAGTAAATTGTTTTAGTGTACAAAATCAATTAGATAATAAAAGAGTGGAACATGCTTAAGATTAATTTATTTACACATGGAACTGATTTAATTTTATGGTGTAATTCTATTCATTAAAATTTTTGTCTACTTTTTGATTTTTTCTCTAAACGTATAGTTTTCTTTCTGCAAGTTTATTATCTATGTCTATAGTTTATCTATATAAGTTTATTATTGGTACACGTAATATTACTGATCTAGAAAAAAAAACTTTTATACTTATGCATTACATTTTGATGTAAAGCTGCTATAAATTTAGATTTAATATTTGTATTTTTTAAGTTTAGATTTACACTTTTTTTAAAAAATAATTTTATTAATTTTTGTTTTTATTTTAAATTTATAATTTCAGCACCCCTTCTTATCAGAAATAAAATTAAAATTTCAACTAAGGTTGTTTTAAAAAAATATCTTATTATTCGGATACCTTAATATTCTCAACGCTAAATATTTTAAAAATAAATATTTTAATGATTGTTAACTATTTAAACTACCTTAAAATAATTAAAAAATTAGCATATTTCTTATTAAAAATATTATTAAAAACGTATCAGTATTAACGTTAATAATATTTTAAACAGATCCATGTAAACTTGAAACTCCCTGCAACTAAATTTTAAGGCAAAACTTCGTGAAGAAATTTTCCGTGACTCATCTGAAATTCGGCATATATTACAGCTTTAACAAAATATTATCGACTTTCAAAACCAGTTCCTTTAACCAGAAATAACTGGCAATTATCCAACAACACCGTCGGCTTTCTTTCCGTGAATTCAGTCAAGCACGTGACACATAGTATCCAAAACGTTATATAATTGTATATAATGTTTTAATGGCGGTTAAATAATTAAATTATGAAAGAATAATATCAAATTTGAAACGATTACATAATAATTTCTAACCAAGTAAATTTATGATATATTCGCCATTAACGACAACAGCTTGTCACCTTGAACCATTTCTAATTAAAACAAAATAAAGGTAAATTAAGGGCCGGGATAGCCTGGTCGGTAGGGCGCTGGGCCCATGTCCGAGAGTTCGTGGGTTCGAACAACGTCGGCCGAAGACTCCCCGTGTAGTAAAGTGACTGAAGCACGTCAAATCTGTCGAGTCGTAAAAGTCCTCCATGTTCCAGGGCTAAAGAGAATAGAAGGGCTGGTTCACTCCTTTGAAGTAGCTCTCGCCGCAAAGATTTTCCGATTTTCTCTAGTGACGTCACTTTGGCGCAAAGCTCGCACTTTTACTTCAAGAACGGAGCGTTCGGCCTTACTAGCTCTAACTAATATTGGAGCATTTCTTTTTGCGAGATATTCTAAGACATTTGTTATTTTCT